AAACCCACCACATCCTCGAGCGCTGCCGCTGCTCGTCCGCGACCGCTTATTCAGCAGGCCGAAGCCCACCTTATTCACGGTTAGCCGATGGCGGCTGTTCCCCTATCCGCGACCTGGGGACGCGCTCGGTAGCATACAGCTCTGCTCTTCCGAGATGAGATTAAGGGTCAATCCCTGACAAGACTGACAATCAACACACCAACGAATACTATACTGAATAAAAATCCAAAGGTCTTGCTTGACAGGTCTCTAGATGCTCCGACACGGGTGCCTCGTTCACGCTCCCGCGTTGGATTTACAACCCACTGCCTTGTGGGTCAGATTTTTGAGCCAAAGGCTCCGTTAAGGATTTCAAAGAAAAATTCCATTGTCGCTTTGGGCTACTGCGAAATTTGTTGTGCCTCGTCTCATTTCCAAGTCGTACGAGATGTCTCCTGTTAACACCGCCCATGGGCATATTACTCAGTGATTAACCGATATGGTCAACCACTCGGAAGCTATTGCTTTGTTTACACTAAGATCTCCGTTTTACTTGGCTGCACTCGATGCCCGCACACGTGACCACATCGGCAAAAAGCTACCTTATAGAATCCTTGAGATTTTTAATTTAGTCGTATACTGTTTCTGTGAAACAAGCATACAAGATCGCGCTTCAATTATCGCCTTGCCCTCTCCAGATCAGACCTCATTCTTATTCGTTACTCACCGTTTATCAGTGATTCGGCATCCGAAGTTCGCTTCTTGACTGGATTCCAGTCAGTAACCAACTGTGCGCTCTACATCTCGACGGTTTAGTACGGGTCAACAGTTACAGAACTATGGGTCGTAAGTGAGGTATTAATGAAACTTGATGGCACACCGATTCACCATCAGCAACGCCGTCTTGAACGATGGGCTGAACATTTCGGGGTTCAGTTCAACTGGTCCACGACGACTTTAATCTTGTCCACCCCTACATTGGGGGCTGGTGTCCAGTACATCGTACTCCCTTCGGACGAGGTCAAACGTCCAAGATGCCCAATCGAGCCGGGGACCACTGTCACAACCAAGAAAGTGTGTGTGTACGTGATTCGTATGCCTCCGTTTTCGTGGTTTAGAATCAGGGATTTTGGCCAACTCCCCTAGGTGAACTGGCAGTAGTTGGTCAACCCGTTTATAGCCCCGGATGTTGGTTTTTCGTCCTTACATGTTGGTCAAAAAACACCTCTGCCACACGAAGGCAGTGAGCAGGCTCCGTCTGTGTAGGCTGCTTGAGACGCTTGGTCGCATGGGAGCATTTCGCGAGGAGCAGGGGAGGTCTGATAAGTTGGAACTCGTGGTATCCACCCCAGACCATACTGAGGCTTTTCGGTACGAGGAAATATATCGGAAAACTTTCGCCCATTGGAATGGGAGGACAATCAAACTATAGGTTTGCGTTTTGCTTGTTTATATCCGTAGTTCCTCTCGTTCTTTTTCCTATTTTACTCACCCCCGCGAAGCATGATTAAGAACGAAATTTTCTGCGTCTAGGACATATTTTTCTCAAATTGTCTATCTTTCGTAAGTTTATTCCTCAAACTTACTGAGTGCTGCAACGGAGTATTTCACTCTGTTCCATTTTAGCCGGGCTACACCGAACAGCCAGGAATCAATTCAGAATTGCCCAAGTGAGTTTCGCACATTAGATGAGATAGTCAACTGTTATTATATGCAGCTGATTTTGCCATTCAACAGTTTATTCAATTTTTTATCAAATTATTCCTTGTCACTTTCTTTTTTATCTAATTTTTAATGGGTTTGTTTTCGCGAGAGCACGTGCCCGATCAAATTGCTATCGATCACCGTCAAGTGGTCACCAAAGTGAAAACGAGAATAGTTAATTCCTAAACAAATGACACGTTGATTGTACGCCTTCACTGATTGCACAACACTGACCCCAGTGTTTCGGACCAGTCGTGCACATTACCTTCCATTCCGATCACTTTTGACATGCACCTTTGGTATGCATGAACACTTAGATTGTGTACTCTGTGTGTTGAACGTAGAGGTTCTTTTGCTTTGCCTCCCTCGAAGTAGGCCCAATCCCTCTCCATCTTGTGCTTTATCACTTGATTTGTGTACATTGTGAGCTTGGCAGCGATCAGTGAAGCTCGCTTCACTGTATCTCGCTGTACGATGATGATGATTATGATGACTTTTGACAATTCATGAACATACCCGAAACAGGTCTCACCGTGGTCAATTTATGACCTCGGTTTGATGAAAGCACGGGTGTAACGTCGACCTTGACCGGGATTTCCCGGTTGGGACTGAGTGGTCAGTGAATGTCTGTGGGTTCAAAACCATGAGTGATGTAACACAGGACCTGAACCAGTAACGTGAAGTGAATGTTGCTAACGTATTCCTTCGGTTTCACTTCAATAAAACAAAACTGTAAAAACGCTTATGGTGTAAACAACAAAAGTCGATGGTCCCGCCCCATCATTATTGTGATTTGTGCCTGTGTATTCTTTTCACGATTCCATTCCGATATACACTGTGTTGTCTATTCACCTACTTGCGTTCATGTGTTTAGTCGCTTATCCTGTTCCCTTTTCTCCACGTTTATCTGATAGAATATTCAATCGCAGTTGCCTTTGCGATCTAGCCGAACTTGTGTTTGTTTATAACTCTTCAAAATACAGTTTGGGGCAATAAAAGTTCAATCTCTGATGGGTAACTGCAATCACACCAAAGCAAAATGTTGGTCTCGTAACGCTTTACCGTGGACAATCGATTCGACTAGACCCGTGGTCCCTAACGGGGACCCAAACGGGACTTATATGTCCCAGTAACCCGGTCAGGGTTTTCATACCCTTTTGTCAGGTCTTCGTTTGACCACCGTCGACCGGCTTCCACCCACCCGTCACACGCCGAAAAAGCCTACCTGATGACGTGTTCCATATTATCCAGTCAGTTCAATCTGTGGAGCGTAAACAGTTGTGCCATTTAACGATCGCGATTTCCTAAAACTCTGCATCCAACCTTGGTATTAATTATCCCCACCAGACTCGAGCAATGCGGTTTGAACGACTTACGGACCACAGGAGTCTATCTTTATCGTTTTTTATTCTGTTCGGGTTTTAACTATGAACAATTTTGGTGTATTTATTAACCGACCTCGAAAATTCTCCTATACGACCAAGCGTATCAAATGGTCCATGTTTAGAAATCCCTACTCACTGCCTTCCCATAGCGGAAATGTTTTCCCACCATAGTGAGCGAACGAAAAGCTGACATCCGGAGTTACAACCGGATTGGTGAACCGCTGGCAGCTCACTTAAGGAAGTTTGCCAAAGACCTTCATTCCACATCAACCATGAGGAAGTGTACGAACCACACACAACTACCTGGTTGTGGCAGTGGTCATCGGCTCGATTGGGCATCGAGGTGTATTGGGTTCCTGGGACGTTTGACCCCGGCCGAAGGCCCTATGATCCGATGAACTGGACCCCGGCCCCAAATGGATTGCGGTTTTCACACACAGCCCCACTGTCTTGCGGGTCCCGCTTTGGCTAACCAAAGACTCCGGTTGTGAATTCCTCGAGAAAATTGATCTGCCTTGGTCGGGGCAACCTGGCAGTATTCTGCCCACATGCAAATCATGAAACGTTTTTCTTTTTTCATAGAGATTATTGTACCATGATTTGCTTGGCACACAGTTAGGATTCAGACGTGTTTGAAAATATAAAATATACCACCGTTGTCGAAGTTGCCGATCACATAATATACGATGGGGCATCAAGGTGTATTGGACGTTTGACCCCTTCCAAAGGGCGTGTAATCCAATGAACTGGACATCGGCCCCCAGTGGACTGCAGACTCTTAGCTCCATCCTGTTGTCTTACAGGTCTGGCTTTTTAGCCAGAGGCTTTGGGTGGGAACCCTGCGGTTAACCCCTCTTCATGAATCAGGGCAACCGAGAAGTAACCTGTCCAACTAACGCATTCTCTATTTTTCTTTGTTCAAATTTTGTGGCTTATCTGCCAGTTCTCTGTTATTGGTTACGTGTTGAAATAATAGTAATACGAATACTACTACTACTAATTTCTTTATCAAAGCCTGTTTTTTTCGCAGAGTTTGCCACTGACAGGCTGAAAAATTAACAATCTACTTGAACAGTTCGTTTGTTCTCAGTCTTGCATAAATATTTTATAACCATCTTAGATTACGTTCTGAAACCAACAATTGACAATATTGTTCATTGTAGCTTGGTTTTCTTAACAAATTTCTCGCTTACCGGTCCTGGTATTTTGGCTTAAACTTAAGATATATGACTCTTTTGAGGTATCAGAAATCTGAATGCATTGGTGTGTATTGTTCGGGCACTGGTTACCGGTGGGGGTTTTGCTCTTTGAGTAAATCGACAAGTGAAGCTATGCTTCTTTTGTTTCTTCTTTCAATCTGCCGCAGTTTTATTGCATCACCTTTGCGACTTAAATCGATCTTGTTCGATTCCTCTCTGTCCGGTGACGGTGACACGGTCACTCGTGCCGGACTACGCACATTCCGTTCGTTCAACTTATCCACCGACTGTCCTGGCTCCTTGGCATTGGGCATTTTATATTCTGATCCATGTCAGCCTATGCGGCTTAAGCGTTTGGGTCAGTTCCTGTGCAAGGTGGACGCGACTGTCCATGCGTTCCTTCCCTCGATCTCAGTTGACTCCTCGCCCACTGTGGCTCCGTTTAATCAGCGTCATCGCGTTGCAATCGCCCTGGCCGTGTTGCACAGTGCCGAGTCGATTCGAGTAAGCGTTTTCTTTCTTCATAATTTTAAGTCAACGGGCTGCCTTGAATACCTCCTTCTTGCTTTATATATACATATATTTCACAATAAGTAGTACTTGAATTTCTTAAAAAGTTTTCCCTGGAAGCACATGACAGGTTTCACAGTTCGTGCCACTCATCAGGCATACCTATCCGATAATCTTTTGTCACATTTGTTGCGGCTCATAGCACCTAACTTTCCTATAGAACATCGGATAATAGTATTGATTCATTAACGGAATGGTTCTGAAAGGCTTCTCCGAAAAACACATCTGGTTTTGCAAATAAGATGTTTGTTAAGTTTGTTAATTGTTAGCCGATTGACACTGCTCTATTGGAGTTATCTGGTTACTTTACTCAAATTATTTGGCTTACGTTTTGATTTGCGTTTTTTTTGTTGTCTCTGCAGAATTTCTGGTGTCAACGTCGTCGTGTATCATTTGGCACCTGTTGGTCGTATAGCCCTAATTCAGATGAACCGCGACTGCTGCAACGCACTGCCGCATTCCCCACCTCGGACTCCAATAGTTGGACGAGCTGGTCGTCGTCATCATCTCATTGTAATCGGCCTATTGATCCGACTTCATCATTCGCACCTCGCCCCCAGTGTCGTTCGCCTATCTCCGAGGGCCCGGATTGGCTGGTGCATACCAGTGCTATCGCGCGCTTCATTCAGTTGGCCGATCCTAGTGGAGCACCAACTTTTTGGCACTCCATGGATCATGGTCCAAATTATGAGGGTAGTAGTAGCAAAAGCAGTACTGGTGATGGTGGCGGTGGCACTAGTCCTACTGCTGGTGGTTCANTGCTTTGATTCCTCTCAGTCCGAATCATCCACAGATGACCCAGGTAAGATGTCAGCACGGATGGGCAAATTGCCGACATATCCACTGTATATATGTTTCTTCTTATCAATAAAAACCGACGAAACGATCCAAATGTCACTCAAAACAACGACAGTTTCTGGAACGCGATCAAACAAAAACCCGATGGATCTCCCCTACCTCGGTGACTTTGTTGGACGCTNGCTCGCAAAGTCTTCCTTGGAATTCAAAATACGACAAAGCTCGCAAATCTCTTAAACAACGCCTCATCAGGAGTCTGAGGAATGACCGCGAGAGGCACGAAGGCGTAGACAGATGGAGGAGGTTGCGGCCGTCGGTAATAGTCACAATCTTTTCCGATTAATTTGAAGTACAGGTCCAAGGAAAGCAGGCGGAAGTGAGGTAATCAAGAAGTTCGACAGAACACTGATTTATATTCAGCAAAGCCGTCTAGATCGATGGGCAGAACATTTTCAGGCTCGGTCCAGCTGATCCTCGTCAGCACAAGACCTCCATATGCCCGGTTCTGCTGTGCAAATGCCAGTTAACATCAGCCCTCCATCTGTAACTGAAGTTTCGCGCGAAATGAGCTATCTGAAGAGGTATAAGGCGTCCGGCCCCGACGGACTGTCTCAATCGGTTTTTAAGGATGCAGATTCAGCCTCGGTTTTGTAGTTAATGAAACTACTAGGTCCTTTCGGAACACATCCCAACGAAATGGTGTAAATCGGTGACCATAACGATTTACAAGAAAGGTGGCTTGTCCTCTTGTGAAAACCGCAGAGGAATTAATTTAATCAACATTTCCTTTAAAATTCTTGCTGGGATTACATTCCGTCGATTGTCTGCCGCACATGAACGGTGCACGCGTGAGAACCAGGATGGTTTTAGACCTGGTCGAGATTGTATCGACCACATCTTCAATCTTCATCAAATTCTTGAACACAGACACTCCTTTCAAAGACCCACCGTTTCTATCTTCTATCAGAAAGTGACTGTCGACTCAGTCAACCGCTCTGCACTCTCGCGCTGCGTTTCCTAGAGGGGTGTACCCGCAAAGTCCAGTTCAGTTTTACCATCCCTCCATGATGATAGCTGAAGCCGAGTCCTTTCGGCACTCTTTCGCCCGAGTTCGCTACGGAAATTGGTGTTCAACAGGGTTGCTCTCTCTCCGTTTATATTTAACTTCGTGATAGATTCAACTCTTGAAAAAGCTTTATCCTCATGCGGGAATAGTGGCAGACTGTCTGATCTAGAGTATGCAGACGACATTGTAGTACTAAGTGAAGATCCAGGTAAGTTGCAGGCTTTTTTGGATAGCTTGAGTGCTAGATTAGCCATGTTCGGTATGCGTTTTGCACCTTCAAAGTGTAGAATGCTACTACAAGATTGGGTTGATCCAGCACCCAGTCTCACCCTGACTGAGGCTGAAGTAGTGGAAGTAGACAAATTTTGTTATTTTGGCAGTTATATCTCACTTGGCGGATGCATCACAGATGAAGCATCGGCGCGCATACACAACGCTCGGTTGACATTTACCAACTTGAGACATCCGGTCGGATGTGAAGGGTCGAGTGTATGCCACGGCAGTTCGATCAGTTCTGCTTTATGTTGCAGTGTTCACTGTTCGAACACCGCTGCCTACACAGTATTGCTCATGTCTGGTTTGGCAACCGCACGAGCAATGGTAAGGTTAAGCATAGCGTTTTAGACAGTTGCGTTCGTCCATTGGAGCAAGTGGTCGACCTCCATAGATTACGCTGGTCGGGGCATGCGTTACGTATGTCACCAGATAGGTTGCCACGGCAAGTGATGTTTGCCGAGGTAGGTAGCGTTTGGAAAAAAATCAAGGACAGTCAAACGAAGACCTGGCATGAGGGTGTGAAAACAGAAGACGGTGATGATGATGTTGACGACGATAGTTACGATGACTCGGATGATGATGGTGGGAATGATGAGGATGATGATGATGATGATTCGGATGTTGGTGTTGAAGATGATGATTCGGATTATGATGATGATGAGCATATTGATGATTCGGATGATGATCATGATGATGATGATGATAATGACGATGATAATGCTGATGATTACGATGGTGATGCTGATGATGATGACGATGATTATGATGATGAGGTTTCGGACGATGATGTTTCGGATAATGATGATTCGCAGGANTGATGATGATGATGATGATGATGATGATGATGATGATGATGATGATGATGATGATGATGTTGATGAGGATGACGATGTATCGGATGATGATGATCAAGATGAAGATTCGGCTGATGGTGTTGATGATGTTCTCCTCGAGGTACTAATGCCGCTCACTGTGCTCTTCTAACGATCGCGGTTCCTTTACATGATGGTGTTCCATCCATTGGTAAGGTGTACATTTCGTAATAGTTGGCTTCATTCAAGTTACGTAATAGCAATTACTCGGATTTGGGCTATCAACATTCCAATCTCAATTCTTTTATCCGAATGGGCAACCAAAAGACATCACTGATAATCGGCGCACGGAACTGCATCGTTGATGAGTGTAAGAACTGAACGGAAGTAAAAACTAAGGTGAATCGCAAATGGGATTACTTGCCAAAGGTTTACAGTGCTAAACTATAACACACACACACAGTCGTACTGTTCGTTTTCCTCCAAGCTCCGTCTCTGATACTCCGATCAATGAAATTCAACCAACAAACGCTAATCTAGAGAGATTTTATTTGATCGTTTCTTATTTAACTCTGCATCAAGTCCCCGTGTCGAAGCTGAATTTATTAGACAACTTCTAGTGAATGAAGTCTTCATGTTCAGCTCGGCATTCATGGACTGAGTACAAAATCCGTGAAGACCAGATGTTCCGTGTGTTTGTTCTTGCTCTGGATACAAAAGTAATGTGAACGCATTCATGCCCTCTCCTGGTCACATATTTCCTTTGTGCCGTCCATTCGCTTAGTTGTTACCAATACCTTAGGAACAAATTTCTGGTAACGAAACAGTGGGATTTACGGGATATGGTGTGAGGGACTATATTACCCAGATTGTAACGGATCTGTGCAGTGCCAAATTGAGTCAGTTGCTGTCCGTCTGCCGCATAGGTTCTGTTTTCTTGAATGATAACTCAATCATTGGCCAGAAGAACACATGATGAAACCCCAAATTGGCAAACTAGCGCGTTTTCGGTATTTCGTAATTTATACGAGAAAACTCATTCCATGTAATTTATCATACAATCTAATAAAATGTCACAATCTATCGCACATGACCGAGTACTCGTTGGATTGCGGACAACCATATTGTCTGTTCTCCTCGAGGTACTAATGCCGCTCACTTTGCTCTTCTAACGATCGCGGTTCCTTTACATGATGGTAAGGTGTACATTTCGTAATAGTTGGCTTCATTCAAGTTACGTAATAGCAATTACTCGGCGGAATCAGCATTCTTAAAGAAGCATGATGTCTAAGTAGTTATTGACCCCCCCCCCCGGTCCGGTCTTCTTCCATGTTGTGCCTTGCATTCAGTATCGTGATCAACACGACCCAGTCACAAATTCCAAAGTAGCCGCACTCTATTCTGTTCTGATTGATGCTCGGTCGAGGGTCATCGTTTAGCCGCTTGGGCTTTCCGCTGTGGTCTGCCGTCCACTGTCCTGGTGGATCGCATCGTACAATGTGGTGTACGTGCTGAGCTCGTGTGTCTATCCAGAAGCAGACCTGCATAGTAAAGGTGGAAAAAACACAATGGATCTACCGAGTCTGTGATACCACTTGCATTGATAATTTTTGTCGCCATTTGAATGTCTGACTGTGCATGCGAAATTTCTGCAAAGTTCAGTCGATTTCTGCCCCCCCCCCCCCCCCCCCCCCCCCNCCCTCCCTCCTTGCTGGTACCTTCGCGATTCGAAACACTTCGTTTCAAATACAAGTTGCTTGTAGTTAGCAAAAAAAAATCAAGGAATGCTTCATATGTGGGACAAGGAAGCGAAAGCTGGCAGCAGTATTTGATTTCCACGTGCCCTACGGTTTGTTTGATTGCACACAAGAAACCAGTTTCACCGCGACGCGTTATGATTAATTTTTAATCGTGAGAAATCCCCGATCGGTCATGTCATCCATTCGATCAGTCGTCGTTCTGTGATGCTTTTCCAATGGAATTATAGCAATCCCAATGTCAGTGATAAATGATCCCCAAGTGTTCTGTTTTTCATGTTCAGCCTTTTGCAGATGACAGAAGATTTTGGTTTTCCACAGAAACTAGTTTCATTGAAGATACAAAGTGACTTTGGAGTTATCCGTTCTTGTAGAACGCTATTCCTCCGCCCACTACATAATGCGACAATAATAGGTTACACTCTCTAAATTTTTTGAACTCACATGCAAGATCGAACTGCAAACGAATGAAAAGCCGAAATATGTGTGTTCACCAAATTATCTTTCATTTTAACTGGAATATAAATATATCGAATAAATACAATTTGCACTGCGACAAATATTCTGACCCCATCCTTCTACCCATGGACTTGGCGCATTACAACCAGGTTTGTATCAGGTGCATTGCTCATACACAACCTCTTGGCGGACTCTGTATTATTTTCACACACATCTGAATCCTAACTGTGTGCCAAGCAAATCATGGTACAATAATCTCTATGAAAAAAGAAAAACGTTTCATGATTTGCATGTGGGCAGAATACTGCCAGGTTGCCCCGACCAAGGCAGATCAATTTTCTCGAGGAATTCACAACCGGAGTCTTTGGTTAGCCAAAGCGGGACCCGCAAGACAGTGGGGCTGTGTGTGAAAACCGCAATCCATTTGGGGCCGGGGTCCAGTTCATCGGATCATAGGGCCTTCGGCCGGGGTCAAACGTCCCAGGAACCCAATACACCTCGATGACCGCAACGGGGAAGGTGTGTGTGGTTCGTAAGCCTCGTCTTGGGGATTGCGAACTGGTTCACCATCGATATCATTCCTACCTCTGTTTGATATTTTGTGGTGGAAGTTCTCGCGTCTTCTCACAGATTTGGAGTGACAATAAGCTAAGTGTTTTCTTCTGGGCTGTATTTAAGGCGAACCATAGTTCTGATGCGGCGAAATAATACCCGACATTCTATCTGATACAGATCATGAACCGTGGCCGTGTCTTTGTGGAAAATGCTTTCATCAGTATGACCATTTTATTGGATATATAAATGTAGAAATCCATAAATAACTTGTGAACTTCAAATTACCCGATTTTCCAAGTTGAAGTCGAGGACTTGCTTAGACGGCCATACCTGAAGCCATTGTTTAAATTGCGTGTAGGAAGCGGGTAATCTATTTGGTTAGCTCCCACTCAAAACCCGTTCTTTTTTCATCTGCGCCTGTAATGTTCCTGTAACACACGGTTATTTCCTGTTGTATGTATAATAATTGACTTCTATATATCTCATCCTAATTCCTCCTTGAATTTCTTTCATTCTGTCAAATTACACGAAGTTCAGTCTATTTTCGGTTTGTAAAGTCGTCTGATCCACGCGTCTCCTCGTCTTGTATTACATCCAGAGGACCAGTTTCAGCGTTCGTTGTATATCGTTCATACTGAACCGGTTAACTCAAGCACTGTTTTCGTCTTCGACGCATGACGACGCAGAGTTCAAGGCCATACGAAGTAACCTTCACTCATATCTCTTTGAGAGCTTTTGATCGCTTCCAATCCGTCTATGAGTGGTTCTATGTGGTTCCGCTTTACCCCTCGTTTGTTGGTGAATCTTACAACCTCTTGCTACCCTATATGTGATGAACGTGTTTTCATAAACGCATCAATTCAGAGTTTCTCAATGTCATCACCAGTTCTTCTCCTACTCGTCATATTTGTCAGTGTTTCACTGGGACTTCTTTGTTTCTTCAAGGTCATTGAGCGTGACGTGAATATACGGTTTTTGTCAGCAGGTTTTCCTATGACCGCAGCTGACACCAGTTTGTCAATCATTGTCTCATCACGATTTCCAGCTCCCATACCGAATTACAAACATGGGTACCCGTGTGTGTGAACCGAATTAGATCTATGACGCGATACGTTTGTCGCGGTAAAATTTGTTTTTTTTTTCGATACCATTTTGGTAAAATGAGTGATGAAATTTTTGTATATCGGATTTACGTTCGGATGCTGTATAGATTCTCCAAAATGTTGATTGTTTGGCTTGTGGGTGTCCAGATAAGATGCAAGAAATGTAGGTGAGATTGTGCGGAGCATACGGGGCGTGCAATAAGTTCTTCGCGAGATGTGTCTATTTCCTACACGTACACCACTAAAATGTCCCCAGAAGCACTGTACATCCGTTCCATCCAGTTCATGTGAATTCATCGTTTACCGTGCTCGGACGTGTACAACTGTAAGTCTCCTCTCGCGGTAGTCTCAATTTCAGTTTGTACAACCACTAACCATGCACTTTCGTGTGCCAGTTTTGGTTGCTCTCTTTTGGCCACCCATTTGGATGAACAGAAGAACAAAAACAGGAAGGTTGAGAGTAGATTTGAAGAGAAAATTGGGAACTACAGTAAATTATCGCTACGAAGAAATTCAGAAGAGGCACTTACGTCACTGTTCACGACAGTCAACCATATCACTCAGTGTCTCCAACCTCCGGTTACGATCATCCTGAGGTCTTCATTCAGGGAGCCTAACATGACCTATGCGACTCAGTTCCCTGGTTAGGGATTTCATACCCTCATGCCGGGTATTCGTTTAACCATCCGTGACTTCATTCCAACCACTACCTACCTCGGCTACCATGGCTCGCCGTGGCAACCTATCTGGTAATATGCGTAACACATGCCTCAACCAAAGTAATCAATGGAGGTCGACTGCGGTTGCCTGAAACTCTGCGCCAAATCTCAGCATTGCTCGTTCGGCTGTCTCACCAGATGCATGCAATGAAGTGTTAAACCACCGACAGTCAATCTTTATCCTGTTTTCTTAATGGCCAAGTTCCTGCACCGTATAGCAGAACTGGCATACGCTCGACCCTTAAAAAACAGCTGAATGTCTCGACGGTGTCCACTGGGTGAGATGTAGCTGCCTAAATAGCAAGTTATTCCCTTGATCTATTACTTCCCCAGTCAGGGAGAGACTGGGTGCCGAACCAACCCAGTCTTGCGGCAACATTTTACACTTTGAAGGTGCAAAACCCATACCGACT